GCGCCGCCGCCAGGCAGGAACGGGGCGAGGCCGGAGGGCAGCGCCTTGGCGCCGCCGCCGGCCCCCGGGCTGCCCGGCTGGCTCCCGAGCAGCGCGCTCGACACCGGCGCCGACCCCCCGCCGAAGCCGCCGCCGCCGCCGCTGTCAGGCTGCTGCAGCGCCGCGAGCGCGTCGAGCCCGCCCGCGCCCAGCAGTGCGGCGGCCGCGCCGGCCTGCTGCTGCTGCAATGCCCGGTACGCGAGGCGCGTCTGCAGCGCCGCGCGGGGGCCGTCAGGGTGGTAATACAGGGTGCTTGGGCACCAGCTGTGCCGCCGGCTGCCACCGGCCGCCGGCGCACGCGGCGCCGCGGGCGCAAACGCGCCCGGCGGCGCTGCGCCGGCGGCGCCGCCGGCCCACGGCTGCTGCTGCTGCAGCCCCGGCTGCGGCTGGAGCGGCTGCTGCTGGGCCAGGCTGATGGGCGGCCCCGCCCCCGTGCCAATGCCGAGCGCCGCCAGCCGCTCCGTCACCGCCGGCGGAGGCGCGGCGGGGCCGCCGCTAGAGTGGTACCCGTTCGGCGTGCCGCGACCGCCTGGCATGCCAGCAGGCCCAAAGCAGCCGGCGCCACTGCCGGCTGGCGAGGCCGTCCCCGCCGCCGCGTGATGCTGGTGCTGGTGCAGCAGGGCAGCATTGTCGTAATTGCCAACACTGCTGCGGCGCGCAGCGTGCGGGTCATGACCGGCGGGCACAAACATGCTGTGCCGCCGTGCGCGGGGCGCACGCGGCGCGACGGGGCCGCCCTGCTGGGGCCCGAGCTGCTGCTGCAAGTACCCTCCGGCCCCAATGCCCGGCGGGCCCGGCGCCTGCTGCTGCTGCAGCTGCTGTGAGAGGGACAGCAAAAGGCCGTGCGGCGGCGGCGCGCCCGCGCCCGCGCCGGCGGCGGAGGCCGGCGCGCCCCAGCCGTCGCCGCTCCCGAGTGAGGGATACATCGGCAGCGGCCCCAGCGCTTCATGCAGCTCGTCGTCCAGCCGCAGCCCCCGGAGGCTCGAAGACACTGGCTGCTGCTGCTGCTGCGCCTGCTGCTGTTGCTGCTGCGACGACAGCTGCCCGAGCGGCCCTGTCGTCAGCCCCCCAAACAGGCTGCCGGGGCCGCCGCCCAGCACGGACTGGGACGCCTGCTGCATGGGCGCCGGCGGCAGAGGGCCGTCAAACAGGCCTGCGAAACCGGCCGCCAGCGAGCTGGCGCTGCCGCCCAAAAGGGGCGACCCCGCCGCGCCGGGCAACATGTGAGCCGGCCCGAATGAGACACGGCGCTGCGGCCGCGGCGCCTGCAGGGGCGCCTGCATGGTGCGCATCGTTTGGCGGGTTTGAGAATTCAATACGATGCGGGGCAGACATGCCCGGGTCCGTGCAAGAGGTGGCGGCACACATGCCAGCGGTCGCGCCCCTGCGCGCGCGCATGCGCCGATCGCATGCGCACCACGACCATACGCGCCCCGGCCCCCGTCCACCCGGCTATTCTCGTGCAAGTATGCGCGGAACGCACCTCGGAGAACAAACACAGGACGTCAGGCGCACTCTCTACTGTACATCGTGAGGGCAGCGATGATTTATGAGCGGGGGGGCTGCCTGAGCCCCGCAGCCAAGCCAATTACGTCTATGCCCTATTTAGTCGGTGTAGGCCAGCACGGGCCGCGGGGCAGCCGCACAAAGGCACACTTGTGTGTTCAACTCACCGGCCACCAGAGCTTCAGCCATGCAAGATGTGTTGCCTACAACCACACGCTTTTCCCATGCCGTCAGCAACACCTGTCACGGTGCGGCCTGCTGTCTTTGAGAGGGGCGCTCTGGAGAACGCTCCCTGCCATGCTTTTTCTTTGATGTAATGTGTAGCTATAAGATTTGCACAAAGTCCCGATGTGATATCTTTCGTCAAGATGGGAGCGCTGTCACCAGTCCAGAATCCCGCTGCACGGCCTGGGAAGTATTGCGTGGTGACGACTGCTGAGATGCGCAATATATATCATGGTCATTGGACGCGTGTAGGCTTGCCAAAACTCGCGCGGACCCGATGGGCACGAAGAGCTGTCGTGCGCATGGCGGGCAGCACGCCCTGCTGAGGGTACGCCGCAACCGACTGTCAGCTTTGCCGTTGCCTGTGTCTAAGTGTGGCCATTGCTGCAGCCTGATGGAGCGGGTAGGAAAATATGAGGGGGCAGCACATGTTTTGAATTGAGATTCTGCATTTCCCTGCTGTTGGCTCAGCCTGGCTGTGAAGCCGTGCTCATGCGTCAACGGTTGACTCCCACGCCTTGACCCAACGATCATTCCTCCCAACTCTGCCGTTTTCCTGAAAGATGAGTGCTTCACATGTGACCTGGAGATGTTAAACAATTGGAGCGCCAAGGTGAGAGAGCCAGCAGCTTGCATGTCGATTTCAAGTACACTCAAGGTGGCAGCCAGTGTGCTGCGAGTGGGTGGCCGAACACACACAAATACACACATGGCGATTGCAGTACATGCGCACTTCGGAGCCCGCCGCAACTAGGCAGAAACTTCCAGTGCCAAGGGCTGCAACCCGGCCAACGCCAGCGGCGCGCGATGCTCGCTTCCTCTCGATTTGCCCCCTCGCGGCGCCAGCGGCCTGCGCCCACTCCGTGCACGCACACTCCATGCACGCATTCACCTGCGCACTGCCGCAGGCGCCTTACACGGCTCCCCATCGCTTGCAGGCTGTTTATGCTCAACTTTAGAGCTTGAGCGGCGTGGGCGACACCAGGATGCCGTCGGCATCTGCATACACCCAATCGCCAGGCTTGATCGAGACGCCCGCAAAGGTCACGGGGACGTCCCTGAGCCCCGGGTCGCGCTTGCTCGATTTCTGCAGGGGGAGCGGCAACCGCAGAGGCAAGCGGAGCGGGCGTGTAAGGTGGGCTGTCCGGCAGCGGCCCACCAGCGCGACAGCGCAGATCACGACCCCACACGCAGCGATGGGCGTGGGTTGGGTGCACGGTGATGGGCGTTGGTCGGGGTGCAAGGGGTTGGCGGGGGCTTGTCCGGCAAAGATGTGCCCCAAGTGGGACCCTGCAGCCGATTACCAGGGGGTGTGTTGCAAGTGCCTTCACACCCAGGTTGGGCAGCTTGCCGATGGCCTCAGAGTCCCGTATGCAGCCGTGCACGATGATGCCCTGGGTTGGAGGAGTTGAGAGGTTGGGGCGGCCTGGAAGCTGCATGCGGCCACCTTGCAATGCCGTCCAACGTGGCGAATTTCGAAGCCGGGTTGGATGGGATCTCGCCTCGCACTGCCCCTCTAGGCCCGCAGGCCCGACCAGCCCCAACGCGCCGCGGGAGAGCGCGGGCTCACGCTCCAGCCATTGCGCTGCGCCGACTCCGCCAAGTTGTCCCCCAGCACGGCGCAGCGCTTGGAGCCGCCCGCGTCGACGACCAGCACGCGGCCGGCGCCGGGCTCCTCCAGGGCCTTGCGCACGAGGGGGTTGTTCTCGAAGCAGGACACGGTGCTGGCCTGCATGGGCATGCGCATGCGGGGATGCATGGGCCGCATGCGGCCTTGCATGGGCGCTCGCATGGGCGCGTCGCAGTGGCACTATCTCTCCATGTGTTCGCATGCGGTTGTGTATGCACATTGTTGGGATCGCGGAGAGAACTGCAAGAGGGGGCTTGCAGGCACCGCGGGCCGCAGCGGCACGCGCAGCATCACAACATGCGACAGCACGGAAACACAGACGCTGCTTACCTGCCCGGAGAACTTCAGGCGGCCGCCAAAGTCCCGGAAGACGCCCGCGTGCGCGATCTGGACCTTGCGGGTAGTGATCTGATCCACCGGCTCGGGGACTGTCGATCGCAAGGCAGGTTGTGGGCGCAAGCGTGCGCGCAGGGTCAAGACAAGCCTTCAGGAGTTGCAGCACAGCTTGCACTCATCAACGCCTCACACTGGGGCTCAGCAAGCGGCTCGAAGCTGTCAGTCAAGGCTTGGACCGCTCGGTGCGTCATGTTGCCACACGGCCGGGGTCAAACTCTTTTGGACCCTGTCCCCATTTGCAGTCCCCTCAGGCCCTCACCAAACACATCACACAAGTCCGCGGTGCCCGCTCTATCGGCGTCCGCCTCAGGCCAAATGCTGTCGGCAAACCCGCGGCCCGCCATTGGGACGAGCCACGTGCGGACCGCTACCGCGGGCGCGGCCTGCGGGCAGACGGCTTCATAAGCAGGTAACAGACGGCCAAGCGCGAAAGCTGCGCGACGCATTGTGTGTTGCTTGGGCCGCGGGGGGTAGAAGCCCAGGGGAACCCGGGCCAAAAAACGTGCAAGTTGGATGATCTGCAACCCGCAGCGTGATATGTAAACAGTTGCGCTATCAAAATCCTCTTTGCGTTTGACGGACACATGCACCCCGCCCACTTGAGCGCTGTGCAGCGACATACACACCAGGTGACCGCCGCTGCAGCACTGCAAAAAAGCGGCTCGAGCGCTGCTGAAAGCAGTACGAGCTGGCGGATGCAAAAGCAGGCCAGGAGGGAGCTCCAGGACCTGCAGGTGCGTGATCGGCATCCTCCAATAACGCTGTCGCAGCAGTTGACACTGGCCTGGACCCAGCCAGTGCCTACCGCCCATGATCGCCGCCCATGCGCAATCCTACACACGTAGCGCGCCGCTAAGGCAGCCCGCTGCATGGCAGAGGAGTTTGCGACTGACTTCGTTTTGGTGCGGCATGGGGAGACGGCGTTCAACGCTGAGGGGCGCCTGCAGGGCGCGCTGCCGCCGGGGCCGCCCCTGAATGCTCTGGGCTGGCAGCAGGCGGAGGCGGTAGGCGGGTGGCGGGTCATGCGATGGATGGCTGGAGGTGGGGCGGTGTGGAGGGTGCATACCGGCAGCAGCAGCAGCAGCAGCAGCAGCAGCAGCAGCAGCAGCAAGCGGCCACATTGTTGTGAGATGAACCTGAGCGGCAGGCATGGCGTGGGCGGCTGCCCCAGAACGCCCGCCGACGTCCTTCCCCCGCCCACGCCCCCACCCCTCACCCACTCCACTCCGCCACACCCCATCGGGGACGCGCAGCCTGCCAGCCTGCAGGGCCGCATGGCACAGCTGTTCGCCCCCTGTTCCACCGCACTACCCTCGCCCCTGACACCGCATTTTCCCCCTCAAAAACAGCTCGGGCGAGCGCTGGCGCGGCAGGCACGCGGCGGCGGTGGCGCCTTCCACAGGGTGTACAGCAGCGACCTCCTCAGGGCAGTCCAGACCGCGCAGGCCCTTGCGGACTGCCTGGACATCCCCAGTCGGTGGGTTCACCAGCACCCAGGCCTGAGGGAGCGCGACGTCGGCGCGCTGCTCGCCGGGCTCACGCGCGCTGAGGCGCCGGCGCGGCAGCCGGCGGCGTGGGCCGCACTGGGGGCGGGGGCCGAGGTGCCGGGCGGCGGCGAGTCTTTCGACGCGCTGCAGGCGCGGCTGGCCGCGACGCTGGAGGAGATTGCGCAGCGCCACCCAGGTCTGCAGCTGGCTGCGGCGACAGCGCTGTATTATGCGATTGTTTCGGGGCCTCAGCACGCAAGGGGCGGGGGAAGCGCTGAGGGCGGGAGCCGCGTTGACGGACGCGTTGATCATATCATCGGCTCGCGCTTTCCCGCTCGGGGGTTTTCAGCCAGCAGGCTCACTGTGTGCCTTGAAAGGCTGCGGTTGCTGCTTGTGCATGGAACGCAGAGGTTGCACGATCCGATTGGAGCCTTGAGGGTCCTCAAACAGGCGTCACCTCTGCAACCCCCTTCCTCAGGCACACACACGACCACAGCTTGTACTTGAACGCACACAAAAGCACGCGTACACTCGTTTTGATCATCTGTGTTCACATAATACCCACATGTACGCACACCCGTTGCCCTGCGCCCATCCCAGGTGAGCGCGTCCTCCTCGTGAGCCACGGCGGCGCCCTGCACGCGGTGCACCGGCGGGGGCGCGGCTACGCAGCGCCTGGCAGGGTGGCAAACTGCGCCGTCAGCAGCCTCAGAATCGGCTGGCCGGCGGCGGGCCAGCAGAAGCAGCAGCAGCAGCAGCAGCAGCAGAAGCAGCAGCAAGAGCAGCAGCAGCAGCAGCAGCAGGAGCAGCAGGAGCAGCAGGAGCAGCAGGAGCAGCAGGAGCAGCAGGAGCAGCAGGAGCAGCAGGAGCAGCGGGAACAGCGGGAACAGCAGGACCAGTCGGGCGAGGGAAAGTACGAGGGAGGTGGAGGGCGGGTCGCGGCAGAGCAACAGTCCGAGAGGCGGCCGGTGCGGCGGGAGCGGCAGCAAGCGGAGGGAAGCCCCGGCAGCGCCCTGCAGCTCGGCAGGCCTGTGTGGGCGCTGCTCAGTTGGAATGAAGTCATCTGGGACAAAGGCGAGGGCTCAGGGGGTGCGGCCCCGACTGCCGGCAGCTTTGGTGGCGGCGCAAACGAGGGCTGACAGCTCTGGCGGCAGCCGTGCAGCACGGGTGGATCTGCTGACATGTCTAATCAACACTATTTTCTTCAAACAGCTCTCATGATCAGCCTGGTAGGGTGGCGGGCACCCAAACACCTATCCCCGCCTGGTACACACTTGATGTGATTTTGAACGCTTGCGCGATTGCGTTGCAATATGGCTTCAGCGCTGTGCGTTCATTCCATCTCTCCTTGATCGTCTGAATTAGAAAGAAGACACATTTTCTCTGCTGGATGTTCTCGGCCGGCCACAGCGCCACATTCCATTGACACCATCCGCTAGGGGTGCCCACCCAAAGTCTGCTAGACTTGTCTGAGCGGGCAAACAAACTGGGGCACCCCTCCTGGTAGTGGCAGGCTGCAACGCCAAGAGCGATAAGCCCCCCGCCCTTCGGGTAAGGTAGTCCACTGGTTGCAGCGTATTTCAGGGGGCCGTTTGCCTCAGGCTTTGATTGTGCTGGTGGCGAGCGTCCACGGCCTGCGCCCACACTACTGCATCATACGCGTGCCGTCATGACACGTGCAGACTGCGGGTCTCTGAGAACTTCTTCAAGGCATATCCTTGCTGCCCACGCGCTGTGTGCTTTGAAAGTGGTGCCCATCTAGATTGTTTGTCCATACTAATCGTTACGTTCCCTGCCGCTTTTCTGCTTGCGAATCATTCGGCGCCAGATTGATTTGTAATTGCTTAGCATCTGCCAGCTGGAGAAGAGCGTTACAGGGCGGGGCAAATTGATCATTGGGCAACGGCTACCACCTCGGTGGTGCCTGTACATCGGTGGGGCATGCGCGAAAACAATCAAGGAAAAGCAAGCAAGGAATGCGCAGGGCGTGGGGCACTGCACACCGCGCGCAGGCCATTGCGTCGGCACAGTGCAGGTGCGCTGTCGCCTGCACAACTTCAGAATCACCAGAGTGCGCTGATATCGCAGGCATGGCCCAGAGAGCACGGACTGCAGCAGTCCAAGGGAATCCGCTGCGCTTGCGCACAGCAGCCCCCGAAGCGACGCACCAATAATGAAGCCGCGGCATGCGTGGGGCAACACAGGCCGCCCCAGCGCGCGAGGCCGGGCGTGTGGCGGGAAAGTCTGCAGGTCCTTGGCGAAAGCGAGAGCTCTGGTCACTCGCATCAAACACAATTCTTGGCGTTGTGCAAGAAACCAACAGCACGAGGCGCCACCGGCGCTCCCGGCGCCAGCGAGGCGGGCGCCACCCCCTTAGTAATGACGGGCCGCGCCCCTTGTGCAGGGGCGCTAGCGCGCACCAGCCGCGCGCAGTGCGGGCGGCGCGGCGTCAGCGGGCAGCCGTCAGGGCTGCAGCAGGGATGAAAGGATTGGGCAGGGGGCCCAGAACACGGAGGGCTGGGCGAACCATAAAACAGCGGCCACGCACGCAAGGGCCACCGGCGCTGCAGAAGCCACTCTGCGGCAGCAGTCCGCGGCCCACGCTGGGTCGATGCGTTGCAGGCCCACATAAATGCCTTGGGCTGCACTCCGTACATCCGCCGCTTCCTGAGAGCCCATCTGCTGCGGGCCGCCACGGCTTGCGGTGTGCGGCGGACAGGCGCCCGACGGCCTCTGGCGCCAGCTTCAGCGCCGGCCAGGGGACGTCGTGCAATGTGCGCTGCAGCTCCTGTGACCCGGGATGCCTGATACACCCGCCAATTGCACAATAGAACCACTCTGCGTTATTCTAGGACTTGGAGGCTAGCGGCGGGGTGCGTGTGTTGCTCGCCGCACGAATATCTTCAAAGTGCCTGCTTGTGCTGGACCGCTGTAACTAGCAAAGAGCTTGTGAGGTTATGATTGTTCAAATGATACGCATGGTGTATAGGCGATCGTGTGCGTAAAACGTTTGTCGGTGTCACCGTGGAGCAGCCCGCGTGGCCAGGGGAGAGCGTTGGATCATTCGAGGGCAGCGCGCGCACTTCCCAAGTCGTCTAACTTTTCCTCAGCACAACCGTGATAGCATAAACTATTGTATCATGCATTTTGGCGGCGCCGCAGCACCATCCATGCCCGCTCACTGCTGCGCGCCATCAACTCACATCCTGTGCTGCCTTGACTGGTGCGCGCATGCTTGACCACGCACACGCCACCACAGCAGCGTGCGCAGCCATGGAGCACGACCGTATAGGCCATGTCATGCTGGTGGGTAGGCTGGACTGTCGTTGTAGCAGCTGACCTGCTGCTGCTGCTCCTACTGCTGCTGCTGCTGCTGCTGCTGCTGCTGCTGCTGCTGCTGCTGCTGCTGCTGCTGCTGCTGCTGCTGCTGCTGCTGCTGCTGCTGCACACACGTTCTTGAATTGGAACACACCCCCGTGTCTCACAAGCGTCTAGACTCCGAGAACAGGTTGCGCTGACAGGCGTGCGCACAACCCTGTCGCAGGACGTCCTCAACACACAGAGCATTCATGACGCCCCTTGGTCCAGCACCAACACGCATACACTTACAGGGTGCGCGTACACAGCGGTGCTGCACGGGTGCACCCGTGCTGAAAGCTGGCAGGCATGCACAACAGTGTTGCCGTGCAGCAGGCCTTCACCGTCGCATATCCCAACTATGCATCATTGGGGACGGGCGGCACCTCGCGAACCCCCAACTAATGGCCCAAATGACCTCCTGTGCCCCCGCCCCCACCTCACAAACCCCAGTCCGCTCGCGCACCATCGGGCCCAGCTGCAAGCGCGGCGCCGCGGCGGTGGCGCCGGCGGGGGAGACGGGGACTGGGCGGGCCTGCAGGGCGACGTGGACGCTTTGGTGGACTATGTGGACAGCCTGGCAGCAAAGCGCGCACAGCACGCGTGGCACACGGAGCGGAACGGCCTGCTAGCCAAGCTGGGCGAGGTGCGTCAGTAACGCAAAATGCTTGCTATCAACCTCTTTTGCTACAAGGATCGTGGAAGGCCGTGGCTGCAATAGAGGCCGTTCATCCAATTCTGCAAGTGTGATGCTTGAGCGCGTGCCCCCTTTCACCGGCGGCGGCCCGTTCCAAACGCGGGATTGGCTTTCGGGCCCTGCACGCCTCTGCGCAGCTGGAGGCGCGAGCCGCCACCCAAGAGCGGGAGCTCTCGCAGCTGCGACACCTCTTGCCGGCCGCCGACGCAAACGCTGCCGCAGCCGGAGGCGGCGGCGGCGCGGCGCCGCAATCGGCGGCTGCTGTGCTGGCTAGGGAGCTGGAGGTTCAACGGGCAGACGCGGCCGGGTGGCGGGGGCGCTGCCAGGCGGAGCAGCGGCTGCGGCTGCTGGCTGAGGGCGCTGTGGCCGACGTGTTGGGTGAGTCCGCGGCAGGGCATCCTTGCGTGGGCCGCTGGTGTTGAACGCTTTGTGTTTGAGCGCCAATTTTGATGTCCTGCCCAGCTGTCGGTCAAGCGAGAACAATGTGTCAGGGTATGAGGGTGTAGCGCACTTGTTAAACGTCAACAGTCCGCACCCACAGATGGACGCGGCCGTTCGTTTTTGACCGCTGCTGCAGGCGTGATCGACGAGCTGTTGCTGCACTGCGACGGCATCTCCGCCAAGCTCGCTGCGCTGGACGCGGCCTCCGGGGCGGCGGCCGCCAAGGGGCGCGCGTGGCAGCGGCGGCGGTCGGTGAGCGGCCGGGTGGGGAGCGCGGGGACGCTCGGCCTGCGCGGACGGGGTTGGGGCCAGTGGGGCGCAAATCGGCACAGAGCATTGAGCAACGGGGCTTCTGCTGCACGCTTGCTGGACGCAAGAAAGCAGGCCCATGCAATTGAATTATGGATGCACCACGTGCCGCACAAACCAGGAGCCGGGGGGGCGCTCGCTGGTGTCTGAGGCCGCGCTGGTGCTGCTGCTCGTCGGCTGCGCGGTCGCGGTGGCGATTGTGGTCACCCGGCAGGTGCCGCTGACGCGCCTAGCTGCGTCGCCGGCGTCGGGTTGACAGTTGTAACAGCAGCACCGCAGAGGGCGGCAGGGGCAGGATTTCTACAGACGGGGGCATCAAGCGGCGGGGCGACCCTGGCGACAAGGGCCGTGCACCACGCGGTCAGGTGATGAGCTTGAGGGCGGTAGTCAGCCGGTGACTTGGTCACTCATCAAGCTCTAGCTGCCATGGCCACATCGACTGCCAGAGGGTTGATTTGCGAGTTCGTATGGTAGTTGATATACCAGACGCACACAGCCGCGCTCTGAGCAAGATCATCAGTGAATTCGAATGCGTTCGTCTGCACCCTAGCAGGAAGCATATTGTGATCATGTACATTGGATAAACCCCAGCATTCTGCGCATCTTATTGGTCCGCGGCCACCATGTGCACTCTGCAGCGATTTCAGCGACGTGCCTTGCTGCTGCTCATGCTAGCCGCAGCGGCCGCTTCCACGGCAGCTGCCCCTAAACCGTTGCTCATCGTCGGCAGCATCAACGCTGACTCCACCATCTCCGTGGAGCGCCTGCCGTCGCGCGGCGAGTGCATCACGTCAACCAAGCCGGTCCCGACGCTGGCCGTTGGCGGCAAGGCAAGCACTCGCCCGTGTGCCTGCTTTTGCAACTCCGGGCCAGCCCAGGCGGGCGCGAGGCGCGTGGGGGCGCCCGGCGTCGGCGCACAGCCCAGCCTCCGATTGCACGTCAGCTAGCTTCTCACTGCAAAACCCGGCCAGGCGGCCGGGAAACCCATCCGTACTGCCGGCAATGACGGGGAAACAGCCCACGGCCGCGCCCCTGCAAAACACCCGCTCCAGGGCGCGAACCAAGCGGTTGCCGCCGCCCGCCTCCGCGCGCCCGGCGCGCCGCCGCCGCGCTTCGTCTGCCGCTTCGGCGGCGACGGCCCCGGCACATGGATGCGGTCAGAGCTGCGGGCAGAGGGGGTTGACCTGTCGGGCAGCGAAACCTCGGACGGCGTCGCGTCGGGCGCGGGCGTGGTTTGGCTCGATGCCGACGGCGCCGCGACGAGCGTCGTCCTCGGGGGCGCCAACACCGAGGGCTGGGGCGGCGCGGGCGCGGGGCATGAAGCAGCGCCGCTCGCCGCGGCGGCCGCGGCGGCGGCCGCGGGCGCGGGGGCGCTGCTGCTGCAGCGGGAGGTGCCCGGGTGGGTCAACCTCGTATACGCCAAGGCGGCGTCCGAGGCTGGCGTCCCGGTCCTCCTGGACGCCGGCGGCGAGGACGTCCCCTTGGACGACGCCATCCTCGGATTCGTCGACTACCTCTGCCCCAACGAGATCGAGCTGTCGAGGCTGACGGGGATGGACGTCGGCGGCGGCGGCCTGCCGGCCGCGCGCCGCGCGGCGGCGGCGCTGATGGCGCGCGGCGCGCGGAACGTGCTCGTCACGCTCGGGGACAAGGGCGCGCTGCTGGTGCTCGGCCCGGGGCGGGCTGGGGCCGGGGCCGATGGTGGCGGCGGCGGCAGAGGAGGGGCAGGAGGAGAGGGTGGTGCAGAGGACGGGTGGGAGGGGCCCCAGGAGCTGCTCCAGCCGCCGCTGCC